TCATAATCTCTAAACAGCCCCTTGCCATAGCCCAATACATCTTTTGGTCTCCAGTCTTGCCCCACCCAAGCCATCTGCCACACTCTTATCAGAATGACCTTCCCAAACACAAATTGAATCTCTCCATTCTCCGGCATGAAAGCTATTGATAGCTTGCCAGTGCTCACTAAATTCAGACAAGCTGCATTAGCATGAAATATTCAGCTTTTCACTAACTCATTCCAGTCCCCATTTCTGGCATCACAGCCATCCAGTCTGCGTCTCACACAACACACTCTGGTCTACATGGTTGGATAAATTACTACTTCTGTAAGTGCCATCTAGATACTTCTATCTAGATGTCTTTATCAACGTTATTACCTTCTTCCAGAATGGCCTCTCCCCCTTCCTTGCTCTGTCCAGAAATTTACATGTTTTCTAGACTAATCCAAGTGCCATCTGCTCTAATACTCTTTCCCATTCTTCCTTCTTAATCCTTCATCCAATTTAATTCTTATCCTGACTGTATTTGATATACTTCTATGTGACAGACTCAATGACAGCTATTTGTTTATCCTGGTCTCTAAGCTGCTCACATGCAAGGATTATACCTACTTTTTAAAGCCTGCATGTCAAGTAGGTGCTTAGTCAATGTGTATTTAATTGAACTGGAAAACTTGAGGGGGCCTTGATTTACTGAGATGGAACTCACTGAAACTTCAAATAGATCCCTTGGTTTTACTTCCCACATTTCTACTTGGAAGAGTTTACTCACAACTCAATGTATTCCTATCAGACACTTATCTAAAAAGCAACAGGCTGTGTTCCAGGGTTGTTACAAATTCAGCCCTATCTCAGAGACTTTCTACAAACAACATGGTAGAATAATTCTGAGGTTCTGGAATAAAGATTTCTGGTGAGTACATTGTATTTACTAGGACAAGAAGACAAGGAAAAAATTTTGAAAGATTTTCAAAAAGATGGATTGAACTCAAGGAGGGTTTCTGGTTAACCATATTAACCAGGGAATTCAGAGAACTATGACATTCCTGTCTCTGAATATCATGGTTAGCTGAAGATATATTAAATTTGAAAACAGTAAATAATGTGACATATGTCTTAGAGTTTTAACTGGGAACTTATGTGAGATTCTAAACTCCACTTCCCTCACTAAATCCCCACAGCTTAGTTTTATTGTATTAACATAACTCGATTTAGATGGAATATTTAATTTTTTACATCATTTAAAATTTTCTCAAGTCTATCCATGACTTTATTTTTTTGCCTGTACTTTGAGAATCTAATTCATTTCATGAAAAGCATGCAGCCATTATATTTAATTCGTTTGTTATTTTTACCCCCAAGGGATAAGTTATCTTGTTTGGCAAAGGTAGTGTATATTATTAGTTAATTCTCAATAATCTCAAAGTTAGCATTTTGGTTTGAGAACATTTATATGGCAACAACTAAATGTACTGCACTGATTTAAATCCTCCCATTTTCCCTCAGAAGCTGTTATGAATTACCCAGGTTTCATTGGTACCTGCTGGCAAGCATCTCAAGTGGGCACTCCAGAAAGGAAATGTGTACCAGCCAAGATGTAGCAAGCACTCGGGGCTGGCACTTTCGTGATTTGCGATTGTGCTTTTCTTGTGCCAACTCACATTCCCCTGTTCCAAGTAAAGACTCTGTTACAGAGATTTCCCTGGGGTGCCAGATAGTGGTATGTGGCTGCAACACTAATCCCATGCCTTGATTTCACTGCGGACGAAGTAAGGGGCTACGGGAGGCAAACTACTGTGAACCGGAAGTCACTGATACACGAAGAGCCTTTCCATCCTGAAAAAGAGAGTCCTCTCACTCATTCTGTCTCCCGGAAATTTATCTGGAAAGAACGTAGGCTGTGGAATCAGAGAGATGGAATTTGAATCTCCCCTCAGCTACTTAGACGTGGGTGACCTTGGGCAAGTTACTTAACCCTTAATAGCAGGCATTTCTTCTTCTCTAATAGTGGTTCTGCAGATTGAATGAGGTAATTAAGGAAAGCGTCCCCACACAGAAAGGGGCCTGTTAGTCCCTTTCATCTGTGCTACTAATCTCTTAAAATGCAGTTGACTTTTTAACCTCACTGTGACTTAACTTTCCTCAGATCACTGATGGAAGATGGTCAAGGAATGCAAGTTCTGATTTGGGAACAGTGTCTGGACATTACAGGCTGACCTGAGCAGGGTGCTGACCCCAGCAAGCCCTATGGGGCCGCACAAGGGAGATGGAAGGAGGAGTCTCATAAAGGGCCAGGGAGAGGGACTGGGAAACCACTCGGGCTTTGCAGTTTTGAGCAGGCGCCTATTTGCAGGTAGCACCACTGGGTCAAGTCAATGCGGAAGCCAGTATAGGTGGGAGGGCCACCAGCCCCACCCAGTCTATTTCTTTTCTTTTTTCTTTTTTATTGACGTATAAGATTTGTACTTATTTGTGGGGCACATGGGATACTTTGGTACATGCATAGAGTAGGTAATGATCAGGTTAAGGTAGGATATCCACCACTTCGAGTAGTTACCATGGGTGATGGAACCATTTCAAAGCCTTTTCTAGCTATTTTGAAATATACAATACATCGTTAACTGTAGTCACCCTACTATGCCATTAAACATTAGAACTTACTCTTTCTACATAATTGTATGTTTGTACTCAATGACTTTCCTTTCTTATCCCTCACCCCCAACCCCACCCTGCAACACATCCTTCCCAGCCTTTGGTATCCATCGTTCTACTCTTTAGCTCCATGAGGTCCACATTTTTAGCTCCTCCATTTAAGTGAGATCATGTGATATTTATCTTTCTGTGCCTGCCTTTTTTCACTTAATGACTTCCAGTTCCATTCATGTTATTGCAAATGACAAAATTCTATTCTTTTTTATGGCTAAATAGTATCTTATTGTGTATGTAGGCCACATTTTCTTTATCCATTCATCCATTGGTGGACACTTAGTTTAGTTCTATATCTTTGCTGTTGTGAAAAGCACAGCAGTAAACATGGCAGTGCTTTGTTATACTGATTTCTTTTCCTTTGCATAAATATCCAGTAGTGGGAATGCTGGATCATTTGGTAGTTCTGTTTTTAGTTTTTTTGGGACAGCTCTATACTGTTTTCCGTAATGGCTGTACTCATTTACATTCCTACTAAGTGTACAGGGTTCCCTTTTCTCTGTATTTTTGTCAGCATCTCTACTTTTTTATAATAGCCATTTTAAGTTGGATGAGATGATATCTCATTGTGGGTTTGATTTGCATTTCCCTGATGATTAGTGACGTTGAGCATGTTTTCAGTACCTGTTGGCTATTTGTGTATCTTCTTTTCAGAAATGTCTATTCAGATTCTTGGCCCAGTTTTTAATGGAATTATTATTATTATTTTTTGTTATTGTTGAGTTGAGTTCCTTGTATATTCTGGATGTCAGCCCCTTATCAGATGAAGTTTGGCCAATATTCAGATGATCAAAGAGACAGGTTGTCTCTTCACTTTGTTGTTTTCTTTGAAGTACCCAAGCTTGTTAGTTTAATATAGTTCCATTTGTCTATTTTTGGTTTTGTTGCATATGCTTTTGAGGTCTTAACCATAAACTCTGCCTAGACCAACATTCTGGAGTGTTTCCCCGTTTTCTTCTAGAAGTTTTCTAATTACAGGTCTTAGGTTTGAGCTTCTTTTAAAACAGTTTGATGTCTACAAATATCTTCCAATAAGACAAGAACTTTAGTATGCTCTCATATCCTTTGTTATTGCGATCCTCTGCCAACCCATTAATATTGGCATTAACTAACTTTTAATTCTTAGTTATAAGGATATTATTTTTTCTTGTTAGTCTTAGCAATTTGTAAAGACAACAATCAACTCATACTAAGGTATAAAGTCATTTTTCCTTCAAGAATTTCTTGGAATATCTCTTGAATTTGCCTCACTTTTTAGTTAAGTACTTTTTTTCAAAACTATTTTCAATGTGAGCTTTTCTATAAAGTCTTCAAAGCACTTGTGTGCCTGAGGAAATTTATCATCTCATCTGATTTGAATGATAGTTTGGCTGGATATAAAATTCTACATTTTTAAGTTCTTTTCCATCAGTATGTTGAAAATGATTCCAGTTATTTTGCATCCAATGTTGCTGTTAAAAAAGCTGATGTCAAGCTGATTCTTGTTCTTTTATATAGCCTGTCTTTCTTTCTTTCTGTGGGTTTTTGGAATTTCCCTGTTTTTTTTCTTTTTTATGCTCTTACATTTCAGTTTAGTGTGTGTGTAGCTGAGGTTTTCCTTATTCTCTTTTGTGGTGCTCTATGAGTCCTTTAAATCTGAGGTCAGTCTTTTCATTCTGGGAAACTGATCTGAACTACTTCTTCAAATATTTTCCCCTCTTCACTTTTTCACTCTTGTTTGAGCTGCCTATTACTTATCTGAATGTTTGCATTTCTTTTTAATTCTCATATTGCCTTAAAATTTTACCGCTACTTAATCTGTCCTGTCCTTTCTCCCTTTAAGACTTTTCTGTATCTGATGTTACAAGTTATACCATTCCCTAAGTTATATAATTTTTGCTATTTTTCATTTGTTGTATTTTTTACTTCAACTAAGTTTCATCCCTAAGCTTTCCTGCTCTGTTTTCTTAATGCTTTCTTATTCTCATTGGTGACACCCTCCTGTATTTCTATTAGACTAAATTTATTGACTCATTTGTGCCAATATTTTTGCCTCTGTTGGAATTTGATATCCTCTATTATTTTTCCTTTAAAATTGTTGCACTCTTCCAATGTATTATTATTTGGGTAAATTTATTCATATTTTTTTCCTGGCATTATCAGCCGCACTTGTCCGGAAAGGAGCAGTCAGTAACTCTCAGTGGGTAGGGATGGTGAAGAGTAGACTAACCTATCTCTTTCTTCCACTGGGCATTTTTTTTGCTTCCAACATACTTCTATCACATTCTGTTTACCCCAGGGTACTGAATATGTCAGCTGGTTTCCATTCATTCTCTCTTCACAGAAAATTTTAATTTATATTCGTATGGAGACAATAATAACTTGGTTCTTCAATCCAGCAATTCAATTTCAAGCTTTAAACCATCTCCCAAATTCATGGCTTGACCTCCACTCTATCCACAGGAACCATTCCTCCTACTCCTGACTGTTCCAGTCTTCCTTATCCAAATCTTACATTTCTTCTCATGAAGAGAGAAGAGAGAGAGAGAAGAACTTAAATCTTTTCTTGCATCTTCAACCTCTCCCTCCCCTTTTTATTATTTATATGGTGCCTCATTGAGTTGCAGGCACAGGGGATGTTGCTGTATCTCTGACAAACAGATAGAAAGCTGAGGATGCAGGACCTCAGATCCCATCCCACCTCTGCCATTCTAGGACTAACAGACCCCTTGCTACTTTTCTGGGTCTCATGGGAACAAGGGACTCATTTTCCCTCTGTCTTCCCCACTCACCTGGGTGCACTCGAAAGACTGAAGTTCTTTCTGAGGCAGCGGCTCAGTCATTGGGGGAGCTGAAAAGGGTTGAGCATCTTGAAGCCAAGTTGGCTGGTGGATTTCCCATGTACCACAGTAGCCCCAGTGCTGGGGGTTCAGAGGCACTGGCCTAGCATACACCACACTTCTCTTCCCAGGCACATCACCTGTACCCATCAGAGACCTTCTGTTATCCCCTTCAGACCCCGGTTGTGGGAGAGGTCATCCTTGCAGAGGTTGTCCTGGCAACCTTTGTCCCCATGGGGGATGTCATGCCTTTGCTGGCAACACCTCCCCTGAAAAGTCACAGCTGCACAGTTCTTGGAGCCCTTGGCCACATGAGCCTCATTGTGCCTCTGCAGGGGTATGGAAGAAACAGAAAGAGGCCCTGGGCTACCCATATTCCAGGCTGGAAAACACCACAAGGGCATCCTGGCAGCCACACAGTTGACCTGGGATCCTGAGGCCTGTGCCTTTCCCTACCCATTGTCCCTCGGGCATTGGGAATACCCGTACTCTGGAACACTTTCCTAATCCACTTCCTTTTCTACGGCAGAAGCCCTGATTCCTCCCACATCCACTCCCTCTGCTCTCTTTTCTTCCCAGGACCGCTGCAGCCTGGCTCCATTTCTTAATCCCCTCAAGTCTTAAACCTCTCAAGCTCTGTCATCCCAGTGGCCTCCCAGATGGGAGCAGCCAGGACATTGGAAGTATTTGAGCTAAAACTGAATATTTTATCAGAAGTTTGAACTCTGGATGGGGAGCGAGAATGATTGAGCTGGGTGAAATGTTCGGTCCCTCCCAATCTTCAGATGCTTGGAGGATCTGCAGGTCATCCTGTGGGAATTGCCTTTTCTCCCTCCACCTTGCACCCTCCTTGGCCCCCCACCCCCACCCAGCCAACTATGGCCCCTATGTCTGCCCCTAAGAGTGGGGAACCCTGGCCCACTGTGGCCCCTATGTCTGCCCACTGACTGGCTGCCCTGCAGGCCAGTGGGGTTCCCCCATTCCCTGACTGCTTCCTTTCCTTGCTCCCTCTAAAGGGTGTGGGTGGAACTACAGAGAGAAGGTGCCTCTCTTGTGGGGAGGCCACAGAGCCTCCTCCCAACTTGACACAGTGTCCACCCACTGGGACCAGCTCCTCCCATCTCCACCCTCCCTCGTGCCAGTAGTCAGTTCAGGAGAAAGTCTAAATGGCCTGGCGAAAAAATGGAGGAGGCCTAGGTTATCTATCCAGGGCCCTGTGGGCTGTGTCTTCTTGGAAAAAATGGCTAAGAAAAATGGATAATCTACAGCATTCTTTTTTATCATTTATTTCAAATATACAGCACCTCAATTATGCTATGGATAATAGTTATATAATGGTCAGGCTGGGAAGCCAGTACCATAGAATCCCAAATGCTTGGTTCATTGACTTATATAATACCCTGTAATTTGGGGGTTGTTGGTGTTTTGTAACTGTTGAGATGCAGAAATGAGTGATTTCTTTTGAATTCTTTTACTTCTAGGCGGCAGTCTGTCAACAACTGTGGCATCCAGTTGGTCAGAAAGACTCGAGAATTTGACCTTTTGTGGCTGTTCTCTAGAACCAAAGAAATGAGAACCTCTTGGTAAAATCTGCCAAACAAATTATCTGCCAAAATTACAATGTTAAACTGAAGAAAACAACATATAACTCGGTTGAAATTTTGGAAAAATACAGAGAAATTGTGACTGGGGAGAAATGGTTAGGGAAATTTTCTCATTGAAATAGAGGATCTTGGAGGGCTAAAGGGAACCCTCATGCTATCAACCAAAATCTCTGTTAAATTCCAAACATAAAATATCTTTTCTCACTGTTAAAAGATCTAAGCAGTCTCCACTAGTAGCCCCGGTCCTGGACACGGGAGCACTGCCCTGGCTGGCCGTCAGGTGCTCCCACAAGCATTGTTCAGACAGCGAGGAGGGCAATTGAGGACTCAGGGGCAGGAGATGGGGTGGTGGAGAGAAGGATGTAACCATCTAAAGTCCATTTTCCCTGCTGAAGCTACCCATGGAACTTTTAAATTGGGTGCAGATTTAAAAATTAATACAAAATATTTGATTAACCAGGGATGTATCAAATGTTCATAAATTACAGCTCCAAGTAGGAATGCCTAAGGAATTGTTCCTTCCATTTAATTGTCATCTGTGTCTATCAAAAAGACAGCCACTCTCATGCCTCTTCCAAACAGTCAAATATCATCCGAAGCCCTCATGGAAAATCTCAAGAGGCTTACGGATTTACTAATTCTAAACCTGTGTTTGCTCAAAGGACAGTGTCAACTACAATTTTTCATTTGCTTTTGTATTCCATTTATTTTTCTTTACAGCTTTGGGAGATGTGTATCATACTTCTATTCTTTTAATGATTATCTTGGAAATTGTTTATAGTTGAGGACTATTTACCATCCTTCTGAATAACACAAAGATTTTAGGACAGTGGTCCCCAGCCTTTTGAGCACCAGGGACCAGTTTTTCCATGGACCAGGGTGCAGGGGGATGGTTTCAGGATGATTTCAGCACATTACACATATTGTGCATTTTATTTCTATTATTATTGTAATATATAATGAAATAATTATACAACTCACCATCATAGAGAATCAGTGGGTGTCCTGACTTGTTTTCCTGCAACTGGATAGTCCTATCTGGGGGTGATGGGAGACAGTGACAGATCATCAGGCATTAGATTTTTCAGAAGGAGCATGCGACCTAGATCCCTTGCATGCACAGTTCACAACAGGGTTCATGCTCCTATGAGAATCTAATGCCACCGTTGATCTGATCTGAGGTGGAGCTCAGGTGGTAATGTGAGCAGTGGGGAGTGGCTGTAAATACAGATGAAGTTTCGCTCACTCGCCTGCCCACGGCTCCTAACTCCTGCTGTGCAGCTCAGTTCCTAACATATCCATTGGTGGCCTTGTTTTAGAATGGTTTTTCTCCACTGATCACTGCTAGCTTGTGTGCTGCCGGGATACAATATTTTGAATCAATCTCTGTTTTTAACCTCACAGATTATGCAATTCTCAGTGTCTGCTTAATATGTATTTAGATTAGTCATATGTTTACCGTTTTGTTTAGTTGCCTAACTTCATTGCATTTCAGACTTTCTTTCTGGGAGTGTCTCATTCATCCTGAAGTACATCATTTAAATGTGCTTTTAAGTTTGGTGGCAAACAGTCTCAATTTCTGTTTATCTCAAAGTGCCTTTATTCTACCTCATTTTTGGTAGTTTCACTGGATTTGTGATTTTAAATCTATAATTATTTTCTAGCACATTGAAGGTATTTCACTTTCTTCCATATTCCATTGTTATTAAAAAGACTCCTGTCAGTCTTATTGACATTCTTTTGTGGATAATCTGGTTTTTCATGATTTCATCTATGTATGAATTTAATCTATTTATGAATTTCATCTATGTATTTCATCGTGTATGAATTTAATTTATTTCTCTTGCTTAATATATTATAGTGCTTCCTCAACTCTGAAAAATTCTTGGCCATTATTTCTTAGTCTATTAAATATTCTTTAAATACTGCTGTCTTGCTGTTACTCTAATATTTAATTCTGAAACTTAGAATGAATATATGTTGGGCTTTATTTTTCATTTTCTTAACTTCTCTTGCATATTTTTAATTTGTCTTTCTGTTATGCCCCCTGAGCAATATCTTTGGATATAATTTCCAGTTTACAAATTCTCTTTTGAGCTGTGTCTAATTTGTTATTTATTTTATTTTTTTCAGAGACAGGGTCTTGCTCTGTTGCCCAGGCTGTAGCACAGTGGTGCTATCATAGCACACTGCAGTCTCTAATTAGCAGATTACATTTTCATAAAATGTTTTTTATCTTTGGCTATTTAAAAATTCAGGAGTTTCCCTCTTCCCTCCTCTTCCCTCCTCTCCCCTCCCCTCCCCTCCCCTCCTCTTTCTTTCTTTCTTTCTTTCTCTTTCTTTCTTTCTCTTTTTCTTTTCTGTCTCTCTCTCTCTCTCCCTCCCTCCCTCTCTTGCTCTCTTTTCCCTCGCTCCCTCTCTTGCTCTCTTTTCCCTCCCTTCCTTCCTTCCTTCCTTCCTTCCTTCCTTCCTTCCTTCCTTCCTTCCTTCCTTCCTTCCTTCCTTCCTTCCTTCCTTCCTCTCTTTCTCTCTTTCTCTTCCTTCCTTCCTCCTTCTTCCTTCTTCCTTGAACTTGCTATGTTGCCTAGGCTTACCACCTATTTACTTACTACCACTGCATAAGTCACTTATCTCTCTATCCATTTTGATTGTCTGAAGCTTGATATCGACTAGATTTCTCAGGAAAGGCTCATAGCAGTAATAGTCCCTGAGTTATGGCATGTTGATAACAATTTGTCTTTTATTAATTACATATAACATTCTTATTTCATGTATTCTTTCCTTAAGTACATTAATTATTATATGTTATTTTAGTATTGTATATTGTAATAGCATATAACATACAATATTTGTATTATTTATTTGTATATATTTGTATTCTCTATGATTTATCTTATATATAAATATTACATATTAATAATGTGTGATTTCATTTTCTTATAGCGTAAAGAATGCTGTCGACAAGCGTGATGATAATTTATTTTTTTTTCCTTACACTTTACACACTTGTTTGGGATATCTGTTATAGACTGAATTGCATCCTCCCCAAATTTGTAAGTTGAAGCTCTAATCCCTAGGGTGACTGTACGTGGAGACAGAGCTTTTAAGGAGGTAATTAAGACCATAAGAGGGGCTGGTAATATAATATGATTGGTGTCCTTAAAAGAAAAGGAAGAGACATCAGGAATGCAGGTGCACAGGAAAGGCCATACAAGGATAGAATGAGATGGCCCTTTGCAGCCAAGGAGAGAGGACTTAGAAGAAATCATCCCTGCCAACACCTTGATCTTGGACTTCCAGCCTTCAGAACTGTGAGCAAACAAATTTATCTTGTTTAAGCCACCCAGGCTGTGTATTTTGTTATGCCAGCCTTAGGTAACTAATATAATGTCCAAAGGATTTTTTTCTTTTTTTTTTTAAGTTTAGTAATTTTACCATTTGGGGTCAATATTTTCAAGTGTGTGGTATAATTTTTCAATATGCAGCTTCAAATCCTTTTACAATTCAGTATTAAAAATTTGGTATATTTCTTATCATTTTTAGTATTCAGTCTTTCTTCTTTGCATTGGTATCTTCTTCGGGACCTCCTATGTTCTATCTCCTTTGCCTATCTTCAATATTTTCCACTTTTTCTGACAGATTTTTTTCATTTTTTTTACTTTTAAAACTTTCCT